ATCCTGGTCAAGTGAGGCAACGGTTTTGCTCTGCAGATAGGGAAAGCCACGGGTTGGGCTGCCAGCTTCCATTGTGCTCTGGCAAGGTTCCCTGGTTGTTAGGCAGGCTGAAGGCCATGTTCAGCAATGAGTGAGACTATGAAAGAGTTTCCCTGTTTAGGTGCAGTGGGAGAAGCAGCTTCGAGGCCACTCAGGCTCTTCATTTGTGGTCTTCACTTCTCAAGCTGACCTGTGCCCCAAGTTCCCTGACTGAACAGGGCTACTTACTTTGCTCTGGGGATGATCAGCTCTGCTTGATCACCTCTCAGCTTGAGCATTGCTGGGCAACAGTTTCCAGGTATTCCGGGGAGCACGGTTGTCACCCCTGGACTATTTTCCCACCAGAGGAACTGTAGGCTCAGGAGAGACCTCTCTGTGTGGTGCCACACTGGCCTAGGGGTTGTGCAATGCAGTCAGCATGTAGCCATTCATGTTAGCCTTCTAATGCAGTCAGCCTTGGTCTTTGTGGTGCGGGGGGTGCCACCTCCTGTGTTCTAGGGTTCTCCCAGGGTGTCCTGTCCATGAATTGTTGTTACCTGTTGTTCTCGTAAGAGGGAATGAAGTCATGAATGACCTATATCTCCATGTTGGTGACTTCACTTTCTGAACATCTTGGAGAAATCCTGAAATGTATTCATTCAAAAACTGGTTTACAATTACCTCATGTACACGGTTTCCAATTTGGTATTATAGAACCATCCTGGAAAACACTTCTTTGATCCTTAATTTCCCAATAAGTACCCAAGACTCAAAATTAGGAGAGCTGACCTGCAGCCTGACAGTATGTAACTGGATTTCCCATCTGTAAAATGAGGGGTTGAGACATACCTTTTGTCCCATCAACTTTAATAATACTCGGGCTAATACTAGTCAAGATGGTGGAGTAGGTAATCACTGTGCTTGCCTCCTCTCACAACCACATCAGAATTACAACCAAATTACAGAACAACCATCATTGAGAATCACCTGAAGTCTAGCTGAACAGAAGTCCTACAACTGAAGACACACAGAAGTGAGACTGGTAGGGGCGGAGACATGAACAGGCTGATCACAGAGGGATATATCTCAGCTGTGAAGGCCACTCCAGAGAAGTGAAGGGTCTCAGCCCCATACCAAACTCCCAAGCCCAGGGTTCCAGTGCTGGAAAGAGGAGTCCCCACATCTGGCTGTGAAAATCAGTGGAGATTGTGGCTGAGACAACGGTAGCTGGACTTCCTCTTAAAGGGCCCAAGCACAGACTTACTTGCTGACAGACTCACTTGCTCTGAGCTCCAGCACTGGGGCAGCTGCTTGAAAAGTGCCAGGGGCATATGAGAAAGAACTGAGTTGTCTGGCTTCAGGGCGAGGGCTGGAGGGGCAGCTTTCTCTAAGTGTTGGCAGAATCCATTGTTCCTTTGTTGAGCCCTCTCCACTCCCTACGTGCAGATGCAGGTGGCCACCATATCTGGGTCTCCATCAGCCTGGTTAACACCACTTGTTCTACCCTGGTGAGTCCTGGAAACCCACCCACCCAAGCCATTTCCAGTGGCTTTTCCATATAAACGGCCTATCTTGGCTCAGGCTGTGGACTTTCCTAAATCTCTCAGAGGTTCACAAAACTTAAACAAGCAACATCTGGCCTTGGCATTCCCTGTACCTCTTGCTGAGCAGCCTTAAGCCCAATGCTAGCAGCAGCCAGCCATGGATTGTGGCTTGGCTTCTTGAGGCACATCCAAGCCCAGCATGAGTGATGGCCACCTATAGATTGCCAGGTAGGCCCAGACAGGGCACAGGCTGTAGCTGAACTTAGTCTTTGGTGGGGCCCCTCACAGGAAGCCCTGGCCTGCACATCTGAGGACAACATACCCAAAAGGCAGACAGTAGAGCTCTGCCAAAGCAAATCCTGCTTCGTAGTGTTAGCTCCTGCAGAAGAGTTTCTCCAGTGTAGTCACCAGCTAGTCCTTACAACCATTCAACCCGAGGGTCAATCCCTCCCATTAACATGCAAACAGCAACCAAGGCTCAACTACAATAGGAGGGACCATACAAGGGATACTACTGGAGCACCCAGGTCAGGTGACCAGGGAGATTGTACCACTGAGCCCCACAGGACACCTACTACATAAGGCCTCTCTACTAAGACCAGGAGACATAACAGCTCTACCTGATACATAGATACAAACACAGGGAGGCAGCCAAAATGGTAAGACAAAGAAATACATCCCAAATGAAAGAACAGAACAAAGCTCCAGTAAAAGAACTAAACAAAATGGAGACAAGCAATCTAGCAGATGCAGTTCAAAACACTGGTTATAAGGATGCTCAATGAACTTAGGGGCAGAGTAGATGAACTAGTGGGAACTTTTACAAAGAGATAGGAAACATAAAAATGGAGATAGAAAACAAAAAAGAACCAGTCAGAAATGAAAAATACCTTAGAAGGAATTAAGAGGAGATTAGATGAAGCAGAAGAGTGAATCAGCAATTCATAAAGAGGTTATTTTAAGGGGCCTCTGGGATAACATCAAACATACCAACACTCACATTATATGGATATCCGAAGGAGAAGAGAGAGTACAAGGAATTGAAAACCTATTCCAAGAAATAAGACTGAAAACTTCCCTATCCTGGTGAAAAAATAGACATACAAGCCCAGGAAGCACGGAGTCCCAAACAAGATGAACCCAAGGAGGCCCACACCAAGACACATCATAATTAAAATGCCAAAGATTAAAGACAATCTTAAAAGCAGCAAGAGAAAAGCAATTAGTTACCTACAAGTGAGTACCCATAAGACTGTTGGCTGATTCCTCAACAGAAACTTTACAGGCCAGAAGGGATTGGCATGAAATATTCAGTGATGCAAAAAGCAGGGACTTACAACCAAGATTTCTCTATCCAGCAGAGTTATCATTTAGAATCAGACAGATAAAGAGCTTCCTATATAAGAAAAAGCTAAAGGAGTTCATCTCCACCAAGCCAGTATTACAGGAAAATGTTGGAGGGACTTCTTTAAGAAGAAAAAAGAAAGACAAAAAATATGAATAAAGTGGCACTAACTACATATCTACCAACAATAACTTTAAATGTAAATGGATTAAATGTTCCCATCAAAAGATAGGGTGGCTGAATTGATAAAAAAAACAAGACTCTTACATATGCTGCCTCAAAGAGACTCACTTCAGATCAAAAAAACAAAGGGATAGAAAAAGATATTTTATGAAAATGGAAACAAAAAACCTGGGGCAGCCATACTTAGATAAAATAGACTTTAAAACAAAGACTATAATAAGAGACAAAGAAGGACCCAGTTATCCCACTTCTAGGTATAAATCTGAAGAAACTCAAAACACTACTTTGAAGGGACATGTGAATCCATATGTTCATTGTAGCATTATTTACAATAGTCAAGATATGGAATGCTACCTGGGTGTCCATCAATAGAAGAATGTATAGATAAGAGGTAGTACATACATACAATGGAACATTACACAGCCATAAAAAGAATGAAATCTTACTATCTGCAACAACATGGATGGAACTAGAGGGTATTGTGCTGAGTAGAATAAGACAGAGAAAGACAAATGCCATATAATTTTACTTATATGTGGAATCTAAAATAAAACTCATAGATACAGAGAACATATTGATGGTTGCCAGATGGGCAGGGTTTGGGGTGGGTGGGTGAAAAAGAGGAAGGGATTAAGAAGTACAAGGTGGGTGGGTGAAAAAGGGGAAGGGATTAAGAAGTACAAATTGGTAGTTACAAAATAGTTATGGGGATGTAAAGTATAGCATAGGGAATATAGTCAATGATATTGTAATGACTATGGTTAGATTTATCAGGGTGATCAATCTAAGTAATATAAATGTCCAATCACTATGTCGTACACCTGAAACTAATATTGTATGCCAACTGTAATTTTAAAAGTTATTAAAGACTTGAAAATCTGAAAAAAAAAATCAAAAAAGGAGGGAAGTAAAGGGGAATAAGAGGTTGAAATTTCCAGGTATAAAACAAATAAGTCATAGGGATATGATGTACAGCATAGGGAATATAGTCAATAATATTGTAATAGCATTGTATGGTGTCAAATGGTTGTTGGACATATCCTGGTGATCACATCATTGGGTATATAAATGTTGAATAACTATAGTAAATACCTGAAACTAATACAATATTGTATATAAGCTATATTTTAATAACAAAAATCTTTAAAAAAGAATACTCATACCTTCTGATTAAGCAGTTTTCCTTTTGAGCATCTATCTATGGAAAATGAACTAAAAAACAAGAGAGGGAAAAAGGCTTTCTATGTAAAGTTGTCACTTACAGAAATTTTTTTTTTTTTAACAATTGTGAAGTGATCTAAATGTTTGCCAATGGTAACTAATTCTGTATTACTAGGAAATTTGGCAACCATTATAAATACTAATGAGAGTTTATGTTGACACAGAAAATGCCTAAGTTAAAATGTTAAAGGAGCAAGATGCAAGTTTGTGCACATATTTGCAATTACATAAAACCAGAAGCCACAAAATTTTGCCTAGAATGAAGACTAGAAAACAATATATGACATAAAGTGATTATCATTAGATAGTAGATTCTATAATTTTACAGTACTTGAGTGTTGACTTCTAAAAGACTTTCAGAATTATAACATAATAGTGATCTATTGTCATTTTATTCTTGCTAATGGCCAAAGCTGAAGATTTGCAGATCTTAATTGTACACATATGTTGTAAATATTGCCACCCATTTAAGGTGTGTGGGTTATTTTGTGTTTAGCATATTGACCTTAGAACTTATGATATAGAGTCTGTTAAGAAAATGACTTAAAAGTCAGGATTCCACAGAACAATTCCACATAATCCTTGAATTCCACTTTTTTTTTTCCTTCCTGGTTTGTTTTCATTTACAGATCTTTGTAGACAAGACAAACCTAAAATTTAAAATTAAGAAAAAAAATGTCTCTTTACAGGTATTCCATTGCCCAAAGAAGATGACATTTCTGCCCCCTTGATCTCCAGCTCACCAGTGAAGGAAGTGCGGGAGCATGAAGACCCCCCAAGCGAAGAGGAAGATAAAATAAAAGAAGAACCTTTAACTATCTCTGAACTGGCGTACAACCCAAGTGCCAGCCTGCTCCCCACCCCAGTTGACGATGATGAGATTGACATGCTCTTTGACTGTCCATCTAGGCTTGAGTTGGAAAGAGAAGACACAGATTCATTTGAAGAACTGGAAGCAGATGAAAATGCCTTTTTGATGGCCGAAGAAGAGGAGCTGAAGGAGGCTCACCGAGCTTTGTCCTGGAGCTATGACATTCTGAGCAGCCATATTCGGGTGAACCCACTGGTCAAGAGTTTTTCCAGGCTCCTTGTGGTGGGCCTGGGGCTGCTGCTCTTTGTATTTCCCCTCCTCCTCCTCCTTTTGGAGTCAGGTATTGATCTCTCCTTCTTATGTGAAATCCGACAGACGCCAGAGTTTGAGCAGTTTCACTATCAATATTACTGTCCTCTCAAGGAGTGGGTGGCTGGCAAAGTAACTCTCATTCTCTACATGCTGGGTTGCTCGTAAAGTTCATATCTCATATGACTAAGGGCTATATTCAATACAAGGTTTTTTTTTTTGTTTGTTTTTTGTTTGTTTTTTCAGCAAATGCCTGGTTCTGAATAGTCATGGGGCCATCAATAGTGTATCTTACTCAAGACTGATTGTTCAAACCTTTAAGTTAGCTTTCCATAATTCACTGTACTTAAATAAGTTTAAATCAAATAATTTTAGTTATAGGTCAGGAAGATGGCCTTTAAGTAACCAAAAATGTTTATTTTTTATTATATCAGAGATATACTCTTTATTATATCATAATACCTAATACCTTGAGCTGAATTTGATTTCCCTTTTTTTAATTAGCACCATTACAATCTATAAAGTTCAGAATTTTAGTAAAAATCTGAGAAAGTTTTTGAATATAATCCTTAGTGAAAATAATGTCCTCTAACCAATGCCTATACAACTAAATTTATGCTGGGTTTTCGTTTTTGTTTTTTTAAAAATATTTTTATGTGTTCAAAATATTTTGGTAAGTTTTTAGCAAAAAAAAAAAGCCTCCTGGAGTTATTTAAGTGTACAGATTGTAAGATGAATGCACAAAAGGTATGTCGGTAATTTTTTAATGTTTTGGCACTGGTTTGTTTTTAAAAATGTTTTGGTTATGTTACCTGCATATGAGATAGACAATAGATAGAAAGACACTGTAGTAAATAAGCTCCTAAAACAGATAATGAAACTAGAGGATGTAGAAACTGACCATCAAGTGGACACAGGGTGGTCCATTTTTCAAAGTATTTGGACAAAATGACTTGTTACTTTCGTTTGCATTCTGTCCACATATTTTGGCTGGGGAAGCAGAACATTTTTAAAAGAATGTGAAACTTTAAAGGAAAAAAGTTAAAAGATATGCCAGTTAATTGCATGTTATTGTACATTAACCCAAGAGTGGAAGCAGATGGGAACTGAACAAATGGCAAGTAGCAAAAAGAATTTTGGTGAGGCTGGTAGGTAAGTGGTGAGAGGCAAATGATGTATTTTATGGAAGTTATGATGGTGCAAGGTATTGGATGATGTAAAGAACAGTGCAGCACTTGCTGTCCAAGTTGACATGAATATATTTAAGTGGTTCTAAATAAAAGTGGAAAAATTTTAAGTCACACTTTTGGTCCCTCATGGCATTCACAGATTCTGTGGAAGAAACTTCAAAAGAAGTGTGTGTATGAGAGAGGAAGAAAGAGGAAGTCAGGGAGAGAATGGATTTTGGCTTTTTGATAATGCTGATGATCTTTTGTGATGGTCATTATACTCCTTCCTTTCCTCGTTTTCTTTAAGATCTTAACTCAATTCACAATTGGGGCTCACATTAAGAAAGTGGAGGAGAATCATTAGATGATATACCGTTTCAGCTTGGGTGAAGCAGTGAAATGACTCAGTAGAGGGGACAAATGTTCTAGTACATTCCTTCATATCATTAAATCTATGACAGAAAGGAAAGAGTATGGAGTTTTGACATGGAGCACTGGGATTTCTCCATGGATTGAAAATGTTCATTGCCTTCATTAAGAAGAGATTGGGCTGCCTGTAATCTGTAACTCTAAAAGACACTGTAGCTCTGTCGTTAGCAGAATTTCCAAATCGACCATTCCAGCCCTACTTATTCATGGGGCTCTGAGTGCTTTATTAAATATTTAATTTTGAAAATAAGTTTTAAAAGTCAGTGCATGAAGACTTCAGTTGAGCAAACTGTAATATACATTTATAGCTATTAGTGCTATTAAGTTTGTAGGTGTTCTTTTTCACATGCTTTTAGTGATTTATTTTACTTTTTAATAAAGAATGTTTAATACCTGAAATTTGATAATATACAAATATACTTTCTAGAGCTTATTTTGGAAGTTTGCATATGGCCAGCCTTGAAATTGAAGTTCTTTTTTCCTTTTTATTATGTGACTTCAAAGTCATACTTTCTGATATAAGGGCCCTCCAGTGTAGTCTCTGATAGTGTTCCAATTATGCTACATATAATTTTCTTTGAAGTTCTAACCATGACAAATCATCTAGCCCTCATCCTTTAAAAATATTAAATAATATTTCTAAATTATGGGAGTAATATATTGCCCATCATAAAACATTTGAAAAATACTGACAGGATAAGTATCACACATAGTCCAACCATGCAGATTTATATTAAGTAGTAACAAATATGTTATTTTTAACATTTCCAGCTAACTTCTCTTGGGCAAAAACTTCACTGTTGAATAGAAATGTTTTTAAGTGAAGGAGTTGACAGGAGAGGGTCTGCTGAATTTAAACAACAGCCACCAAAAGTGGGATCCTGAAATGCCATTTTGTCGGGATAGAATCAGAGCCTTTTTAGAAATACCACTTAAGTTTGAAGAAGACAGTTACCAGTTGCCTGAGTCAAAGGAGGAAAAGACTGCTTCCAGGGTGGAGGGTATGTAATATAGTGAGATACAGAGGTCAAAGCAAGTGTGTGAGTATATGTATATTCCATATTATTGGTATACATGTGTTTATATATGAATCTGTATATATGTGTGTATTTGTATACACACAACTGATATGCCCTTCATACACAGTTGTGTTTACTTTTCCCCAATTGAAGAATTTGTGACATGTTATTCTTTTCCCCTCAGATATCATGGTGGATATAACGCAGTCTCAAAAGTTCCAATTTTCCATGAAAACCACTGTGTGTACATTTGTGGTTTTATATACATACATATATGGCAAATACATATACACACACAATCTTGTCTTTAGTGCTAATGCAAGTTGGATCATAAAAAAAAGTAGGTAAAGTACCGTGTTTGTGTCTCTGCTTGGAACATACTGTAAAATGTTATGTATTTGAATATATTTTGTGGCTTGTCTAATATTTATAAAATCAACTCTGGGAAGAATTCACAATGAATTGATTTCATTGAAATACTAGAGATATGGGGCCATGTTACCTATGATTGGAGCCTTATCTTTGTATAGTGAAATTTGCATTTCTATGTCAACAGATTGTTTTATATGTTAATATGGTGGCAGGAATCCCTAATAAAAGTACTCTGGGGAAAAATGTTTCTGCAATCATTTAGTTTTATTCAAAGCAAAGTTGTATAAATAGCCTTTTGGAAATTACGGAAAGGTGTCATCTAGGACTATGAAATGTGATCACCCTTGACTGGTGATAGTATGAAAAAAAAAATCACTGGTGATTGATAGGAGTAATCTTTTGCAGAAGTCACCCAGGCTAAGAGCGGGAATACTGAGTGTACTAGAAATGTACCCAAACATGAGATACATCTTTGGTCTATTTCAATGGCACTTAGGGAAATAAAAAGCATAGAATAAAAGTGTTCTGCATGACAGGTAGGAGGAAGGATTTCAGAGTGCTAGAAATTAGTGTGTCATTGCTTCTGGTCAGAAAAGAGTGCCTTCCTGTGCTAGAAAAAGGTACCTCAGACTCAACTCTGTAACACTTGCCATTAAACTTCTCCTGCCTGTTCATAGGCCCTGAAAGCATCTTACTATTCTACTCTGATCTTCCCCTCCATACAGCATGGCCCTTTGCTTTGTCACAAAACTAACAACTCCACACCTGACAGTTAAATCAGAAGGTGTTACTCTGAATGAAGCAAAAGGGGCTCTCTTTACTAAAAAAACACCGTATGTGTCCAGTCAAATTGTACCCCAGCTGTAGTGGGCTCTTAAGCCTGTCAAGTTCTTTTTTATAGTTTTATCAAGACACAATTGACGTAATACTGTATTACTTTTAAGTGTGCAACATAATGATTTGATGTGTATATATATATACTGCAAACTGATTACTACAGTGTTTAGCAAAACCCAACACTTCAGTCACATTTTTTTTTTTGTGATGAGAACTTTTAAGACCTCTCAGCAACTTTCAGATATACGATACAATGTTCCTAACTACAATCACACTGCTTATACATGACATCCCCAGAAATTATCTTACAATTGAAAGTTTGTTCCTTTTGACCACCTTCATCCATTTCACCCACTGTGGAGGTGTGGGGGGTGTGAAAAGTCTGTCAAGTTCTTACTCAGCAGTCCTCAGAGGTCCAGGCTCTAGAGTACAGGCAAGAAAAGGAATCCAGTGGTTAGTATTTAGGCATGAGGTGACATGGAGCTACAGTCCCAACTCCAGCAGTTCTAGCCAGCACCTTTGTTTGGGTTAGTATCTGCAGACTGTAAGGCTCACACAAAATGGCCCTTGGCCACTTACTAGGTGGCCCAGGCTCTTGCCCAAACCTTGCTCAGCCAAGTAGCAGAGTGATCTCTTACCTATACTCCAGCTCGGAAGGAAAGTACTAGGGAGAAGGATCCACCTCTGAGATGACCTTGGGATGGTTGTGGTTGATGAATTTGAGATTCTTTAGGCCATCTTTCTCTACTGGGTGAAGATAATGTACTAAAAGTCCCCACTTACTTGTCCTCCTGCTTCTCTCTCTCTTTCTCTCGGACCTGCTTTTGGGCTTCCAGTCTACATGCAGTAAACAGACCCAGCAGGACCTGCCCGTGGCGGGCCCAGACAGGACTCGGCTCTGCACATTCCAGCCTCAGTCTGTGATGGGGTGGGTAAGTCTAGTGAGCCCTGTGCAGTGGGCTCAGCCACCGTCACTTCAGAGAGGACGAAAGAAGCCTCACTTGGGCCTCAGATCCCAGCTGTGTTCAATCCATTAATAAAACTGATTTTAATCCTCTTCTGGTCATTGTGTCTACTCTGTATTTGGAACTGGGGTGATGGTAGGAGGGGCAAGATTCACACTAAGTACACTCAAGAATAGTTAAGATCTCTGTGACCTTCGATGTGGCAAAGGAAGAAGTGGAGAAGGCTTCTCCTGGCTGAACCTCAGGCATCAGGGGATATCTGCCACTGCCCCTGGCCCTGACAGGACTTACAAATCGGTGAGGGAAACTGGGGCTTAATATTAGTAAAGAACAGAGGATTGAGTGGAATCAAACCTCCCTGCTCTTTACCTATAGCTGATGCTTCCCCCAAATACTTCTTTGGAAAGAGAACCAAGGCCACTTTCCTGGTCATAAAGGAAAACTCTTAGTAGGACAAAGGATACATTTTGCTTGGGTACCAAGTATTGAAACATGTCTTGCAAATTACAGCAGCTCCTCCAGCTAACACTGATCACTTTGAATCTCTTCATCTACAAGAATTATGATTTTGATAGTTACAAGGGTTTTGAATTTTCCAAGGAGACTATCCTTCAAGGGAAAGAACAAACTAACAAACCAAAATTAGTTTTCACTCTGCTTGGCAGTTGCATTCTTTCTAAGATAAAAACTAAGTGTTCTGGTTTAAGCATCAGTTTTTATCTTGCATTCTAAGATAAAAACTAAGTGTTCTGGTTTAAGCATCAGTCTCCTGTAACCTCCTGGGTGTGAATCAGCTTCCATCCTGGATCAGCCTGAGGGTCCTGACAACCTTGAGCATCTGATTCTACAAAGTTGCAAACTGGACTGTGAACAGTGGCCAGATAAAGGTACTGCTTCCTGGTCACAGGGTTACTATGTAATTGTCCAAACAAAGAGCTTGGAGAGCGAAAGGGGGTGTTTTTAATGATTTTCATAGCAACAGGTGACAACTAGGACTGTTCCAGACACTCTACCATAAGGCTTTTGTCCAATCAGCTAGATGCCCTCTTTCAACAATTATTCTAGCTTGCTTCTCTAAAATACTGACGAGACGAAATACAGAAATATTACTGCCCTGTCATCATAGCTCTCCTACTTGCCAACAAGAACCAAATTAAAATTCACCAAAATTATTACATGTTTTGGTGTGGCACTACGGATTATGGATTTTAAACGAGGCTTCTGGCATTGACTTTTTAATGGTACATACTTAGTTTACCATTTATAATGTTGAATTTGTTTAATGTGAGGCAGGTAGAGAGTTAGAATGATCTCAGTGTTGCTTCCGCCTCTACAGTCCTGAATCTGACATTTCTGATCTGCACTTACAGAACGGTGATGACCAGCTTAACCGTGAGCACCTGATTCACACCAAGTACACCCAAAACAGAGTTGTGCAAAAGCCAGCTTGATCATTTATCATGAGACCTTTCAGTCAGTTTGGCACTTGTTTGATGCTGGATGCACTATTCATGCTCTTCCCAGTACATAAGCTGTAATATGAACTCAACACCATCAGTGAGTACAAGGAATCACAGCTGGGAAGTGGTCTCTCAGGGCAGTCAGCCCTAACAGACTTGTCTTAGAAGATCTGGGGACGCGTTATACACATTTTTACTCCAAATCTCCCATTTTTGAAACTTGCTTGTGGCAGAGGCTGGAAGGGGATCTAAAACCATTTTCTCTTTATCCTGTGCACAGAATTAAACTACACTTTCCGGCCTTCATGTACTTAGGTATGGCAGTATTCCTGAGTTTTAGCCATTGGAATTGAATAAGAAGTGATCTTTATTACCTCTAGGCTCTGGACTAGGTGTGCACCTCCATTTGTCACTAGATGTCAATACTTGCAGTGACCCTGAAGCCACCAGTGGAGGATATTAAAGCTACCAGCAACTTAGGTTCTTAATGACCATGTGGAGAAGAGCACCCCCTACATCACCCTAAACCAAACCCACCTTACACTGTTATTTGAGCAAGAGAGTCTTAACTGGACAATTTCCAAGTCCTTTGTGATCACCACTCTCTCCACTATTCAAGTGACTAGGTGCCCCAGAAAGGACAGTACAGCTGCATCAACAAAAAGATCCTTCTCAAAGTTAAAAATTATCAAAAATTATTTGTGATTTTGCATTTATCAAAAGTGATTCATGTTACTTTTAATTCTATCAATCTAAAATGAAGCTAAAATATGTTTTGGTGGTCTAATAAACGAATTTGCTGAAAAGTGAACCTTAAAAAGTCTTATCAAGATATATATAATAATATTAATATATTATTTGTATTATACAAAATTATGACACCAAAATATTGTTTTTTTGCAATTTGTAACACTAATGTTATAACATAAATGTTACTCATGTATAACTATTACCGTTTTGCTTTATAATAAAATGTTTTTAAAAGAAAAACCTTTATATTTTAGTACCTTTAACTGCAGTTTTCCTCTGTACTTTGAACAAGGAGCTCCACATTTTCATTTTGCACTATGTCCTACAAATTATGTCACTGACCCTGACTGAGTTAAAAGAATGGAGTGTGGGAATATTGGAAGTGAATACTTTGATGATCAGCACTGAAGATTTAAGTGTGAAATTTAAATGCATATGGCTAATTTTCCTTTCTTTGAAGAATTTAAAACCATCCGAATGATAAGAGTCTATCTTATAGAAAAGATTTCCTTTATTCATAACGATAAGAAGTGAAGGAATTTTTTGCAATAATTTGACTTTCTAAAACTTTAATGATTAGATTGGGTTAAACGAGGTACTTATAAGTGAAAGAGAATAGACAAAAATTAAAATTCCACATCTAAGATTTGGTAAGGGCTTTTTGGTATAATTCTGTGTAACTGAGAAACTAATCTTAATGACGGTGTGACAAATCATTTTGCAGGTCATGTCAGGTCACTACTGATTCTTTGCTTCAATAAAATTGAAAGAATAGCTAATTGAATTATTAGGTGATACATCATTAAAATTGTATTTCATAGAGAAGCACTTCTGGAATGCTGAAGATCTCTGATAATCCATTCCTCCATAAAAGCAATGAGAACAATGTCAAAAAATTGTAAAAATCAACTTTTCTAGAACATTGAAAATTAACCAAAGGCTTGCAAATAACGAAGAAAATTTATCAAGGAAAACCTGTCTGGTAAGATCAGTGAGCTTTGTGCGATTTTAACTTGCCCTATTCCCACCTTCCTCTCATCAGCCCTGAAATACTCTTGAAAACCAACAATCTCACAACCATAATAGCTGTGAAATATAGCAGCACTGTAGCCACCGGAGGGGACAGAGTGGTTTGGAGTTCCCTAACAGCCTCATCCTCAGTTACTTGTTACTGTGTGACTTGTATAGCAGCTCGCTGAAAGCCTCCATTCTCAGACTTCTCTTTACCTGACA